CTGAAAACGAAAGACTAGGAATTAGTAGAAATTCAAAGGAAAGTGAAACCTGAGGATTGCTATAATACGAATTGACAAGCTGATAAGGGTTTCGTCTACGATGGTTGTGCTTGGAAGGAAATAGGTAAATCTGGATGTGATATTTAAAAAGAGAAACTTGAATAAAAAGCTGGTAAGAGGACAGGGGGAGAAAAAGTGGAAATGTAATAAGTAGATAATAAGATAATAAGTAGATAATACGAAAGATAAATAAGGACAAAATGGAGATCAATCTCCATAATCTCACATACACTCGTGTGTGTTCATGAATGTCTCTGATTTTTATAAGAAAATATTTATCTTTTCCTAAATATCAGGCAACGATGTCAGAATTTTCGAGAGACTGAGAAAAAATAATCATAGTAATTTTTGAAAAAGAAGATACCATTTCCACCGGTGCTAATAGCGCCTTCTACAGGGCATTTACACTTCATTACAAATTACGCCCTCGTTTCAGCTGCCGTAAAGGGAATATTTATGACCTGTATGTAAATGAACCGTATTTTGAAAAATTAGTGAGGCGTGGTTGCGTCGCCTTTACCTGTCGGCGTTCTCCCTTTAAATCAATTACTTGTATTTGTTTCGGTAGTAGTCCTATAGCAGGTCTATGATTTTTTATCATCATTATCATTTTTTGTTGTTATTGTTTAACAGTCGCCAAAAATTGTTAAAATAAGAAATCATGAAGTGACTGTAATAACGACTCGATAGCAGTAAGATTTTTTTTTTTTTTACTGTAATATGAGATAAAAGGAACAGCTACAGATAAAACATAGGTAAAACGGCGAAGACCCAGACGTGACATATAAGCCATGGTGTATAGACAAGCTATCGTATTCCACCAACGACTCACTTAATCAAATATTATAAGAGCCCAAATTTAAGGTCTGGTATTAATCAACGCACAACCTAGAATTTGCTCAGTCAATGAAGGAGTGAAAGTTGCTGGATAAATGATGAATTACTGATAAAACACAGCGTAAGTGTACCCGCTTTTAGTTGCAAAGGACGATCGATACTGTCTGCAATATGCCCCTTAATGTGTATTCAGCCTCAATCAATATTTACATCGAAGTTCATCTCAATCACTTTACAAACCCTCCGTTATGGAGATTGTCACAACTTCCTATGGATAAAAATAACACGAGCATTATCAAATTATTATCAAATATTCATTAGAACTGAGCAGAAAATCACTTGCATTGTCTCGCAAGAGTCAAGCAATGCCTCATGCATCAGGAGGTCATTAACACTGGCTGCTATTTGCCAAGGTGAAGTGTAAAACGTTAGTGCTTGTTAACATGAGCGAGTGGTCAACATTCTGAGAAAATGGACAGAAAGGTCAAGAACAGTCACCATTTATTTGACCTTCAAAGAATCCGAATATCACTATGCATTAAACCTTTATACACTAAACTTAAGGGAAGATTCAAGGAGCAAGTGTTCGCCGTGTTACGTCATCACTTACTATTGTTCTTTTTTTTGTTAAAGAAACTTGAAGGACTGCATTCTACGCGTCGGATCAAGCAATATTTCGGAGTGAGACCTTTGTACGCAAAGAATATCCATCGCGACACATTTCTTCCTTTATCTTCCCACAGGCTTGAAAAATCACACCAGTTCCGTGCTATTTTCAGACTGCATTCGTATTAGGAAGCTTTAATCAGATCATGTTTGAAGGTTTGACCATGTACATCCTACAAACTGTTTAGGCGTCTGCATGCCAAAACCCAAACATGGAGGCGTCTCGGCGAAGAGCCAAATAGCGAGCTGGTGTCATCTGTCTCCACACTGTGTTATTATGCCTTAAGAGATGAAGCGTCTTTCTCTATGTATATAAGTATATATATACATATATATATATATGTATATATATATATATATATATATATATATATATATATATATATATACACACACACACACATATATATGTGTATGTGTGTGCGTGCGTGTGTGTATGTATTTATATATGGGCGCACACACACACACACACACACACACACACACACACACACACACACACACACACACACACACACACACACACACACCTCCCCACTCCCTTTCTCTCTCTCTCTCTCTCTCTGTCGTGTTTATTTTAAATAACATGTTTGAAGCTTCAATATACTCTGTCGGTATTTTTTCAACAGATGGTAGAAATTCCCGCAATATGTGTTTTCTTACATCTTTTGAGAAATGACAGAGATCCGAGAAGCTGATATAAAAAAACCCTACTGAACGATCGCGAGTTCAAGGACATTGCTAGAGTGAATATCTAATGCGCTTTAGATTAATCGATGGTATATGACGTTTTATTAAATATTTTTAGATTAATGATACACCAATGCTGATATAGCATACACTCACACACTTATGTATGTATGTACACACACACACACACACACACATATATGTAGGTATGTATATAAGTTGTGTGTAAGTGTGTGTATGCGTATATGCATGTGTGTGTATATATATATATATATATATATATATATATATATATATATATATATATATATATGTATGTGTGTGTGTGTGTACTTCATGTAAATGTATATGCCCGCTCGTGCAGATATACATCGTTCACTTGTCACAAAAGCATACTTGACTCTAGTATATTCAAACCATATCTGACACTCCCGTGGGCAAGAAGTCCGTTTGTACTTCTTGATATTGTTTGGGCAATAACCGAGCCGCTTCGTGCAGAACGTTCAAAGAACCTCTGGTGGGAAGACGGTATCCTTGACCGGCACAAGGGCTTCCCCGGGTCCCGTTGTGCCGTTGGGAGACCATGGGAAAGGGAGCCACAGGCAGCAATTAGGTCATCTTGACTTTTATTCTGAATTCCCTTCAGTACAAGTAACTGTGTTTTCTTACATCTTTTGAGAAATGACAGAGATCCGAGAAGCTGATATAAAAAAACCTACTGAACGATCGCGAGTTCAAGGACATTGCTAGAGTGAATATCTAATGCGCTTTAGATTAATCGATGGTATATGACGTTTTATTAAATATTTTTAGATTAATGATACACCAATGCTGATATAGCATACACTCACACACTTATGTATGTATGTACACATACACACACACACACACCTCCCCACTCCCTTTCTCTCTCTCTCTCTCTCTCTCTCTCTCTCTCTCTCTCTCTCTCTCTCTCTCTCTCTCTCTCTCTCTCTCTCTCTCTCTCTCTCTCTCTCTCTCTCTCTCTCTCTCTCTCTCTCTCTCTCTCTCTCTCTCTCTCTCTCTCTCTCTCTCTCTCTCTCTCTCTCTCTCTCTCTCTCTCTCTCTCTCTCTCTCTCTCTCTCTCTCTCTCTCTCTCTCTCTCTCTCTCTCTCTCTCTCTCTCTCTCTCTCTCTCTCTCTCTCTCTCTCTCTCTCTCTCTCTCTCTCTCTCTCTCTCTCTCTCTCTCTCTCTCTCTCTCTCTCTCTCTCTCTCTCTCTCTCTCTCTCTCTCTCTCTCTCTCTCTCTCTCTCTCTCTCTCTCTCTCTCTCTCTCTCTCTCTCTCTCTCTCTCTCTCTCTCTCTCTCTCTCTCTCTCTCTCTCTCTCTCTCTCTCTCTCTCTCTCTCTCTCTCTCTCTCTCTCTCTCTCTCTCTCTCTCTCTCTCTCTCTCTCTCTCTCTCTCTCTCTCTCTCTCTCTCTCTCTCTCTCTCTCTCTCTCTCTCTCTCTCTCTCTCTCTCTCTCTCTCTCTCTCTCTCTCTCTCTCTCTCTCTCTCTCTCTCTCTCTCTCTCTCTCTCTCTCTCTCTCTCTCTCTCTCTCTCTCTCTCTCTCTCTCTCTCTCTCTCTCTCTCTCTCTCTCTCTCTCTCTCTCTCTCTCTCTCTCTCTCTCTCTCTCTCTCTCTCTCTCTCTCTCTCTCTCTCTCTCTCTCTCTCTCTCTCTCTCTCTCTCTCTCTCTCTCTCTCTCTCTCTCTCTCTCTCTCTCTCTCTCTCTCTCTCTCTCTCTCTCTCTCTCTCTCTCTCTCTCTCTCTCTCTCTCTCTCTCTCTCTCTCTCTCTCTCTCTCTCTCTCTCTCTCTCTCTCTCTCTCTCTCTCTCTCTCTCTCTCTCTCTCTCTCTCTCTCTCTCTATCTGTCGGTGTTTATTTTAAATAACATGTTTGAAGCTTCAGTATACTCTGTCGGTATTTTTTCAACAGATGGTAGAAATTCCCGCAATATGTGTTTTCTTACATCTTTTGAGAAATGACAGAGATCCGAGAAGCTGATATAAAAAAACCTACTGAACGATCGCGAGTTCAAGGACATTGCTAGAGTGAATATCTAATGCGCTTTAGATTAATCGATGGTATATGACGTTTTATTAAATATTTTTAGATTAATGATACACCAATGCTGATATAGCATACACTCACACACTTATGTATGTATGTACACACACACACACACACACATATATGTAGGTATGTATATAAGTTGTGTGTAAGTGTGTGTATGCGTATATGCATGTGTGTGTATATATATATATATATATATATATATATATATATATATATATATATATATATGTATGTGTGTGTGTGTGTGTACTTCATGTAAATGTATATGCCCGCTCGTGCAGATATACATCGTTCACTTGTCACAAAAGCATACTTGACTCTAGTATATTCAAACCATATCTGACACTCCCGTGGGCAAGAAGCCCGTTTGTACTTCATGATATTGTTTGGGCAATAACCGAGCCGCTTCGTGCAGAACGTTCAAAGAACCTCTGGTGGGAAGACGGTATCCTTGACCGGCACAAGGGCTTCCCCGGGTCCCGTTGTGCCGTTGGGAGACCATGGGAAAGGGAGCCACAGGCAGCAATTAGGTCATCTTGACTTTTATTCTGAATTCCCTTCAGTACAAGTAACTGTCTTTTTTTTAGGATACATGGATGTGGTCAGGGGATGAATTTGGCTCAGAGGAAAACTTGATAATTAATTGAGCGGGGCTTTTATATTCTGAATGGTA